TACGTTTCGGAGTATAACTCCATCTTCAGGTTTATAAAAGTGAATAAAGATATAAAAACTGTGATAAAAACTTTCAAAACAATTACAAATTTTATATGTAAGTGATATTTAATACTGTAAGAATTAAGAAAGTTCTTGAACAGTTGATCTGACGAAGACAATGACGAATACTTATGTCGTGATTTTTCTGTCGGCTTCACTTTTCGCTCGCTGTTATCGTTCCAGATATATATATATATATATATAGAGTTCACTGGATTACACTTGCTGGCTCGCGCATAAAAAATCTCGGACATAATTTTGGCTGAGTGTGGCTTCTGGTCTATTTTCTGTGCAGCAAGTGCCACACACGTCATCTAGCGTGCGCAATTCGTATTCCGCAAGGCGAAAATCGCGGACACGAAAATGTTAGGAAAGGTGTACAGTGAGGCTTCTGGTATTTTTCTATTCTGTGATATTATCCAACAGACACTTACCCGCAATAAACACAGTAACATCAGATTTAGTTAATTTACCCTTTGCAACAATACTAAATCTGTATGTTCCATTGTACTGGATATTAACGTTCTTTAAAATCAACGTTGCATTATTTTTTATTGTAAATGGCCCAGGTGAGTATTGGGGCTTTTTATCCACATCCCTATCTCTGAAGATTTCAGCAAAAGAGTTGTCGCCTTTTGGAAGGAATGTCCACGATCGAAGACTTAAGTCAGATATACTAACATCAAGTTTCCACGCTATTGTCACATTTTCTCCCGGCAGAACAACAAAGGTGTCACCACCAGGCGGGAGGGAGATTTGACCTAAACAAAGGAATTAATAATCAATTATTACATTTCACAATCGAGCATTCCCATGCATAAGTGCCTTTAGCATTGACATTATATTCTGGCCAATTCGTTGCTGAAAAGATCAACACTCCCTCACGGAAAAAAATGTTGAATGTCTCGAAGGGTATGGGAGGAAATGGGTTCCAATTCGAACCACTTGCAAATTTCCAACATGGAATTTTCAGGCAGACAATTAATGCATCATTTCGCTAATGAAAATTTTCATGCATTTGGGAAAGAAAGTCATTACTTGGCCTTGTCGCGCAGTCTCCCAAGTAAGACTTTCAGCCTCAAGGCATCGGTCCCAGCACTACCGAAGAAAAAATTCCGCTAACAAAATAGTAGATTATATTCAGTTATATTTTAATGACAATATAGAGAAGAGAAGTTCTATCATTTGTGCCCATATACAGTAAGATGCATCCACCATATTGAACTTTACATACACTGTGTACGTGCATCAGGCCTCCTGCAACTTCTTAATTCAAAGGACTAATAACCGTGAATTTCAAAAGTAGTACATACATTGTATGCCCATAATCTCCAGAGAATTTTAAAAGTGAAATATCAATCCCAACGTTTGTTATGTTACAAGGCAGCTGCACTTTCGGTTGTTTTCGGTAAAACTTGTAAAACCTTTATCAAAAAGATTAAACTTATTTTTAAATTTAAAATTTCCAGCTTTCGGACTATTTAATACCTTGCGTCATCAAGATTTTACTGTGTATGGCTTAAAGTGTTTGTTCGTCTAAATCCTGTTCACATGCGAATTTTTGTAGCTAAAATGAAATGTACACATACCACATAAAAACAAAGTAATTACGTTAATTATAAAGCAAATTAAGGAACTATACTAGAGATTAGTCAGTCACATTGCATGTCCTTAAATTATATTTATGAATCTTTTGTTTAGTACGATTCTAGAACAATTCCTTGTTTTATGTCTATTTAGTTTATTGTAAACTTTATTGGACAGCAAAACAAGACATACTAAACAGCAAGAGTGCAAATGGGACTCGAAGTCCCAAGCGAGGCACTCTACCTTTTACAAATTAATTAAATTACAAAATTATTGTTACGATACTGCAACCAAAATAGACATATGCCAGTTGGTGGTGGTGAAAATAAACATATGCCAATTGGTGGTGTGATTTCAGGTGGTGTACGTAGCTAGATTTCATTTTAATAGCTAGAAATGCTTAACTATATGTGTTAAGCCATATATAAAATCTGACTGATGAACGCGCTTAATTGAAGCATTATTTATTACCAGATTCCTACCTTCACAAAGAAATAACAAAATATTGAGAGCAAATAAAATGGCAAAGACTAAGCCAGTCATCCTATGGAATTAACCTATATGAACAAAGTCAAAGATAATATTAATTTCATAGCTACATCAATTCCATATGGCAAGGCCTCTCCAACCAAGACTCAGTAGTTTAATTTCTTGTCTCTACAGTCCGCAACTCCAACCTGATTTTTGTGTTATTATTGTAAACATGTTTCAACTCGGACTATGCTTTCTGATGATACTCCAGCCCCCCCCTTTCAGCATGTCCTCAGGAAAACATATTTAATTATTTAACTTCCCCAAATAATAAACAATTTTAATTTATAAAATACATGCACAGGGACGTAGCAACCAGGGGGGGGGGGGGGG